TTGTGCTAAAAACCGCAGGAACTTATTTGGTTACCTGATATATTATAAGCTGAATCCAAATTCAAGATGAGATGTAAATAACAGTTAGCGCGTGATCTCTCGGTAACAGGTGGGGACAACGCCTCTTATTGGTCAATTCGCCATTAAATTTCAAGCGGTCGCCTGGCGGAATAATGCGCGGGGCAGGGGCAGGGCACAGAGTTGCATTCAGGCCACCGACCGTCGCGTGCATCACTGCGTGCTCGTGTTTTCGTATTCACACTTGCTTGGTTGTTGCTGTGTTGTTGTTAAGTGTATTTGAGTGATTTGTTAAGTTTCTGTTTGTTATTGATATTCTTCATTATTATTTGTTTTGAACCAATCCTGAACATGTCCAGTACAGATACTGCTGACGAGGCTGTAGGCTACTCCAGTAGCCCTCCTAGAAATCGATCAAAAAAAACGACATCTTAGCGTAGACATGAAAGACGTCATATTGAATAAATTCAAGATAGAGCGGAAGGAAGACGACACAACTAACCCGAAAATAGCTCTGAAGGTGGCAGATAAAATTGGGGTATGCCAAGCGACAGTGTACAATGTTTTGAAAGAACATAAGACAAAGCATGCCTTTTCCAAGCCAATGACGGGTAAAAATCGCAAAAGTATCATAAGATCGTTGGATGACGCTGACAAGCATGCGATTCGGAGGAAAGTGCACGAGTTCTTCTTCAGAAACGAAATACCGACAGTTGTTAAAGTACTACGGGAGGTTAACGAGGAGCTATGTTATCAAATTTCAAACGTTCGACTATTCATAAACTTTTGAAGCATCTTAATTTCGAATGGAAGAAACGAGGTCGTAACAGCTTACTTATGGATAGAGAAGAAATTGTTCTGTGCTCATATGGGCAGATGTTAAGAATTTTGTTGCTGCACACAATACAACATTTAAATTTTCTGACATGCAAGAGCTGTTCAGAATTGCTACAGAGGGTCACACCAGAAAGATGGCAAAAGTGTGCAGCATGATCAGGAGACAGTGGAGGTAGCAATGTGGGAGCTGGACAACATAATTGAGAGAGATTTTGAATCCATCATCATAAACATTAATGACGATAGCTCTTCAAGTGAGTCTGAGTAAGTTTCGGGTTTTTGTTTTGTCACAGAATACATATTATGGGAATCCTAGTTATAGTGAAATATTAACTTACAGATAAACTACAGACAATGCAAGTCCGAAGTGCACCTTCAAAATCTATTTTCAATTGATTGAACAACCTTATTTATTCGATGTACAAAAGTGTCATCTCTACCCCTCGTTGACTACGGATTCATTGTGCATAGTGAGCAGCTGGTTACCTCTGGTATGTATTCTCCATGTTGTCTAGATTGAAAAATCTGTAGAAAAACTTAGCACCCCTTCAAGAATAAAAATTTGATTTTGCGACAGCCTTAACTATAACTACTCTTCACTATATTAGATAATTTAGTAAAATACTGTCATCTTTGTTTTACATGTTGGTGGTAGTCGCATCCATTCTATCTTGGGTGTAAATAGACTATAGATCATCAGAGGTTTCAAATTCCTTGAAAATATTATGAATGTGCGTTGTCAACAGGATGGTGAAATGCGTTAGGGAAGTAGTAGAGCTTTCATAAACCAGTGGAATTAGGCGACACAATAGTCCAAAGAAACAAATTTGTAAGAATATTTAATAACAGTCTCTCCATGTGAGCAGCATAGTACTATATTTGCCTTAGAGGAAGAAATTTTTACATTCTCACAGCAGATATGTCAACTGCAAGTTCGTATGAAAAAATATCACGTTCCGAATAGCTATTCCAAGCTCCTCCATGAAAGGCGACAATAATACCCAGACATTAATTTCGAGCAACCACAAATCCTGTCCAAATAAGAATACACTGTAGAAGCAAATGAAAATCATGAGATATTTGTGCCAGAAACCAAAACATAGTTGAAAATGGAAGCTGCTGGACGACTTTCGGGACACAAGAAGAAAAGTCTGGAAACTCAAATTTCAGATATTGTCTCCGCCTATTCATAGACCCACATGACCCATCATTATGTTGGCTTCTATTATTGTCTTTCGATATAAGAGAAGTGTGGGAAGCAATGGAAATAGAGGAAACCCTCCAGGGAAGGAGACAAGAACACCCAGGTATCTGCCCATCCTACATGCCTTCGTCTGGCTCAGGTGTCGATTATTTTATCTTGAACATAACGCGTTTCCAGTCCCGCGGATCTCCACTACTCCAAAATCACCTTTGCATGTTCCTTTTTGATATCTACAAGATATGGACGGACCTCTTTGAAAAATATACGGAAGTCAATTTAATGACGATAAACAAAATATACAGTGATTTTCAAAAAGTGTCTTGAACCGGTCAAGTTGACAAACTGACATTCGAGATGGCTGTACTATATTTTAGCCTAATAGTAGCAGTTGGAAATTTCAAGATAGCTGTTGGGTTCCATTTTTTCCATCAAATATAAAATCACTACTTCTACAAAGGCAAGCAGTTAAAGTTGAGTTTTTTTGTACATTGATACGCTTATAACTCAACAACCAATCGTCCATAAAGCATGTTAAAATATGGACCATTCTATTTGAAAAAAACGTCAAAATCTGTCAATGTCCCATATTTAAATGCACCTTTAGATGGACTCTTTCAAAAGCGGATATTGATATCCTATAACGTTTTTGATGACTACTTTTTGAAATATTAGCGATTCAATATTCAAAAGCCCTAACAGCCTCCTCTCCATCATTTTGAAAGAAGGTGATTTTATATTTTGGGGAAATAAATCACTATGAGAAGCTTCAAAATAAGGTATTACCCGGCCCCAGAATTCCATAAAAAAACTGCTCCAAAATGGCGCCTAGCTGTCATTATGAAATTTATAACTTGTCCCGTTTAAGAAACGCACTGTATATTATAATCTCGAGCACATTATAAGCCAGTACGACATCTGAATTCTTTCAGTTTTACTCTATACGAGTATTTCTATTGCATTACACCCTGTAGGCTCATACGAGCTACCTCGCTTGAGTAGTGCCTTTTTAGTGTGTCTGTAAAATAAAAAGCTCCAGCTTAAAGCTTCTATATGCATATAAAAAGTTACACAGCAGGGTATCGATTGCAGTCAGCGAGCTATGGACTTCCGCAGGTATGAACCAATAATCGGTGAAAGGTAGATTGGAAAATCAACTGCTCTATCAGATGCTAAGGTCTCAAAGCGCGCCACACATCCTCGCGGATGAGCGGATCTGCCCGTAATCTTTTGCGGAGTCAGGAATAAAAGGGTCGTCTATATATGTTCACAGATGGTTGAACATACGAGCAACATAAATGAACTTGGAGACCTTGTAGAGCATTGATCACTTGATGTATCTATATATTTCTGGATACTATCACCGCTCAACACAGTCACGTATATTTGGAAAAAGCTAGAATTTTATTGATTGATACATAGATGGTGAATAAAAAAACACAATTAATTAAAATCAATTTCCAAGGTGATATCATCTTTATTCTAATAGATAGTCTTGCAAACCAGAGCTTGGTTAATACAGTCGGTCAGTTAGAGACTAGCCAGTCTCCTTGTTTACATTCCAACCTGATTTTTTGCTCTTCTCGCCAATCTCTCTGACCTCTGAGCAGTGATCTTTTAATTTTGGGGAGATTCATACAAGGTATTCCCTGCTCGCACTCGGCTATATAAATGGTTCTCGTGAAATGTTTTCATTCTGAAATATTCGAGAGATTTCTGCCTTGGATACCCACCCAACCAAGTTGTAGATACTTTTTCTTATTTCTTATTTATACATCTTAAGCGAAAACTTCCAAATAAATAGATGTCGATAGACAGTGAAGTAAGTAAACAACTTTTGTTCCAAAGGCAACTTGATATTATTTTGTGTTTGTTAAAATTAAAGCCAATGAATTTTCTGCCAAAGCTTTCGGGACATACGTTACTATATATGATACTACTAACTACTAACTAGAGAAGGCATGTTCACTTGGAAAAAAGTTCTCTTTTTTTTATTAATGGCACTGGAATATAACCCATCAGCCAGAAACAGGTTATAAATAATAAGAATAGTATGTCTCTTTGTCTACTTCATCTTAACCTTGTACATCCAGTTCTATTCCTACATCGAGTGGTTGATTGAATGATATTATGACCTCCATGTTCAGCCTTTTTTCCATTCTTACACTGCGGAAGTGTGCGCTTTGTGATTTCAGCAAATGAAGGGAAGGTATTACGTCGCTTTTCAACTTCCATTTATTTTGACGTAATCCCAAAGTTTGTTCTTTTAAATAGTAGTCACTTTCTACGAAATACATCAAACATATGCTTGCGGTGTGTACATTAAATTTGTGTTTCTGATAACTCATTCATAAGCTCGTTTGTTCTTTAGAAAATTGAAGAAACGCCAATTTCAAACATATTTACTTTTCTTGTTGTTGTTGCTTGAACAACCCACCTCTGCACAGTACACACCATAGTTAAATGTTTGATTCACTGTTTTTCAAGTAACAACCAGATAATAACCTAACGAAACTAATCACAAATTACGCGCTAAAGCGCCATATAAAACATTTGTCAACCGTCCCCCATAGTATTTTGTCACCGAGTGTCGCGGTACTTGAAAAGTGAGACTGATCGCATGCGCGTGGGTTTATTTTCACGAAACAGTATCATGCTGTTTGAACACAATAAGGCATCAAAATACCTATTTTCATTGTTTTCATGTTGTGCGTCATTTAGAATCATAAATATTATCCGGTTTCACCTTGAATGAAAAAACTCACCCAAATACTCCAACTGCTACGGCTGCTTCTCTCAAAGCCCTCTCCTGCTCAGCGCTCATATCCCGTAGAGTCTCTGGTCGTATTGTAGCTGTGTTTCGAGGCTGCCTCTCATTCTGAACAGCTAAAAGCGAAATAAACGTACTGACAACAAGTTTACTCTTCTGTGTCTCATTGACTTAATCCATCATTTTAACATTAATATTCCAAGAATGAAGTACGTCGCAACATATTCAAGTTCAGGGGCCTATAACCAGTTTGGCGAAAAATCCTCCTCTTACAATCAATCCGGAAAAGCGTCGTAAGATGTTTTCATTAATGTCAAAGATACGACTGTTATCATATCAGTTGAATTTTGGATCTGCGCTCGATTTCTGTGATCTGTCTAAATATGTTTTTTAAATATTATGTAACAACAATGAAAGGTCCCATGTCTACATTTAATTTTACTATTTTCACAGGATTACCCAAATCACTAAATCAGCTGGTCCAATGTCCAATTGAAACAAACTAAAAGTGTAACCAATTACTCTTTAAACTGTTACAAGCTATTTTATACTAGAAAATCAACGGATTCACTTCTGTTATCTGTCAGTGCCTAATAGCTTCGCACGCTGTTATAGTCAAGAGTCATATTGGGATAGCATGTCAGAGAATCCATTGAAATTATGTTAGAAACAATAATGTCGATCTAGGCAGGTTTTAGAACCTGGGCTCTAGTAAGGAAAAAAATATCGGAAGCTTTGAATTATTCTTGATGCCACCTAACAATGGTGTAGATAGAGCTATGCTGGTTTCATGGATATGTCACAGCTGCGGTATTATATGAACTAACTTCAAATATGTTGTCAGAAACAAGGGGTGGTATCACTGATGCTGATCCGCGGATTGGATTTGGGACACCTGATATCTATTTATTCAAATGAATCATTTTCAGATAAAATAAGATTGTTGCTTTGATCTTCATTCCATGTTTCAAGGTTCTATTCACATATCTTTAATAAAAAATTCTAACATCTTTATTCTTCTATTGTTCAAGACCATAAATAATAGAATATAACTGAAAAACCCAGATCTTTACTAATTCCCCAAAGAATCAGCCCAGCACTGACTGCAAAGTTAAGCGTATTTAAATTTCAAATTAATGGTTCCAGCCTAATCCCTGTACAAGACAAAAGAGCATCAAAAACGGCTTCGTTCCGGCAAATCGCGGCACTCCATGACTGTTCCATGGCCGACTATCCGGGATTGTAAATTACAGCGATGTAGCGCTCCCGATTTCAGATAGCAACGCTTAGAATGGGACATAAAACAATGAGGAAAAAGTATAGCCTACTTAAGCAGTACTGCTTTCCTAAAATCAATTAAGTATGATTTCTTAGCAGCTTTGAAAAAGCTCACAAACCACTGAAAGGAAATCTGTCCAATCCACGGGTGGGAATCAGCATTGGACAAAATGTATTATGTATGGAACACATTAAATAAGGTATTATCATCCGATCACGCGTTTGTATAGTTTCTAGCTTGAATTTTCAATCCGAGAAGTTAAGAAATTGATTTCTAAATGATCCATCCTTGGATCATTAATCACTGTGTTGTGTTTGGTAATGAAAGGATAGATCAGCTAACTAGACTGTGGCCCATGAATCAGTCACCAGCCTGGTTTCAGTACTAGTTGACGCTAGGTTATTACTGCATAGGAAGCCATTTCTAGGGAATGGAACTCGCGTACCATGAGAAGATTCCAAGAAGTACCACAGTGGCAAAAGCACCCTGAATCTTTAAAAACGGCAATCCAAATTGTGTTTCGTGAATTTTACCTTAGGTGAGGTAGTTTTTTAAAACTAGGTTAGGGAAAAGGGGGGATTTCTTACGGACTTCAGCGGGGAACTCGTGTGCATGTGACATGCGCACATGGTACCCCCACGCTCGATGGACTGAGACCGTCTACCACCTACAGACAGTCACACACAACATCCAAAATCAACAAATTTGTTGGGACGTGATTCTAAGCTCACAGTCACTGATCAGTATACTCAAAGCCTAAAGCATTACGCCACCGAACTGCTTGCGGTTTATGAAGAAAACACTAAAGAATACGGTCCCTCAGAAAGTAGTAGAACCGCTTCCTTTCAATTGGCGATTTTACTCCCTTGTTTTCAGAAATTCAAGACAAAGACGCTCATATCGGTCTTGAAAGATGGCGAATACCCTAAAAATCGCTCATTTTCCGATAGTGCCTATTGCACGAGTATCCATAACGTTTTGACGTCTACTGAGGTGAACAGCTGATCAGCAAGTGACATCTTTACTTAGGTCTGTAACGTTGGCAATAATGAATCGGGTATAAGACTAGAAAAACTCAGGACCGTATTCAGATCTGTTGTTTACATATCTAGATACCTTTAGTGACTGAGAATTTCGACAATAAAATACACGAAGTACACACAGGAAAATGTTAATTAGATGATTATTATAATACATTTAGGATTTATTGATCTCGAGGTAAGGAATAGAACAGGCGCTTTGTCCTTTCCAATAGCTGTAGTTTTGCCTATAACAATTATATAGACTGGTGTGTCTAGTTCATTGTAGATAATCAGTGTAAAGTAATTTAAATACAGGTTGAGTATTCGCAGAACGTCCCGTTAACATTAATAATGAATACAGCTTGATTAAGCCACCACTGATGTAAAAAAATTGATCTTGCATCTGTAATCTACTGACAGTTGAAAAAATGAGTTTTGTAAAAACCGTAACTACACTTCTCCTTGCTCTCCCACAAACGCTACTAGCTTCAACGGCTGTTTGCTTCCTCTGAATTTTTGCAGTGTTCTCAACAGTTGGACTATGCCTGTATTCACGAACAGTTCATTTCATCAACGTAGATCCACGTCTATTACATCTTTCTCATTTCACTTCACTGTCACTTGTACAATCACGTCCCCACAAACCTTTAGTCTATGACTGTGTCAGCTTTCAAAAGAAGTTACAGAAAATTTGTATTAGATGAATTGTAGTGTTTATATTATATTGTTCCCTTTCCTTTTATATTCAATATGTTTTTTTGTTAAATCTGCCTGAAATGATTTGACCTCTTTCGTTAAATTATATTTTTATATAATTTTCTTATGTATACTTTTTTGACGCTTTCAATTATAATTTTCAATATTAACTTATATAATTTGGTTAAGAACTCCTCTGCTGTTATTTTGTTTGTTGGGCTAGTACTTCCCAAATAACAATTATCACTCCTATTAGAGTTGCAAGAATGATTATACAGCATTCCTTACACAGCATTGTATACTGTAAGAACATTGGCAAAACCCTCTTAGAACAGCTATACAAGCGGAATGGGCACACCTAATAGGACACTTCAGTCATTGAGACGTTGTATAAGGGCTGCAGGTAACAGTTATACAACAAAAGTGTAAGCCTCCTGCAGCCGCTAAAGAACATTTGCGTCAGTGTAAGATTCAGTTTTTGTCAACTATACAACTATACTGTTACGTTGTTATACTTTATTGCAACCAAACTTTTTCTTATGTATTATATAGACGAAGTGAAGAATATATAACTAACACAATACAGTCATCTTGTTTACTTGCATATCGGAAATTGTGAATTTCATACACAGGCATATGATAAACTTCTACACTATGATATAGGGCTACTGAATTACTTGCGCAGCTAATTTTATTGTGATTATCGTGCAAAGTAGTTACGCAAATTCTACGGGCTTCGTATTCATATTAAGATAATGATCAAAAGTATGTCTAGATTTTTAAGATGGAAAAATGAACTTATCTGCGTTAAATCTTCCACAAATCCTATATTTTGACACAATTACACTAATGTTTATCACTTATATCTGTAATTTCGAACTGAAACATAATTATTTAATATCAAATAGAAGAATAAATGTTTGCCCAATGTGTCGGGTGGTTGTGTATGATCATGGCATAATCCATGTTGTCTTTAGGTTATTAGAAGATTTTGGTGTTGCCTGCAGGTGTTATACAACAATTTGACAAATGTCTGAAATGGAATACCGACAGATTCACCCAGAATGTGTACCAGATCTATATCTTCTGTTTGAACAGTTGATAAAACATTTTGAACCAATATGCATGCGTTGTTTGTCTTAAAACATTGGTTATGGCATTTTAACTAAAATATGACAGCAGAAAGTTAGGTTATGGTGAAGTTGTATACCAACATATTTAGCAGTTACTAAACAACAGTTGTATAAGTGCTTCCGTTGGGAGCAATTTGTTGGCTAAAGTAGTATATTTGCACAGCAAAACAACAAGGCTGGGGTTTGTGTTATAAATGTTACCATGGATGCCACAACACAACCATTTTGACTAACCTGCAAATATGCCGTATAAAATAGTTGTATAAACGTTTATGCATCAGTTGAAAATTTGTCCTATGAGGTGTTGTGCAACTATGCTATAAGAATATTTTAAACACCTCATTTTAGAGCAAATATGTTGCAGAAAGCAAATTTGCATTCCACTGAACGTTAAGCCAGCATTTTGGTGTTCAGGCAACAACAATAGAGAGCTTTTATGGCTGAACGGTTCTTTTACCAAAAGCTTATAGCACTACTTTGCTAGTTGGGTTTGATCAGCTTATCTGTTTACTACTCCCTTTTGCAGGGAATTGATGTTGTTTCTCGCATTTTAAATTTTTTTCTCTTTTATTTTTTTGCTCCGTAAATAAACGCTATTAATATTATTATTATTCCTGTCACCTCCTGCAATAGTTGTGCATTTCACCTTCATCTTAATAATTTATAACTTGTTAGAAATACCTGACTATTGTTTAAACCTGATACGGGGAATCGAACCTATATCAGTTTGTCATATACTGCCATACATCATGACTAATTGTTTTACTGTTTCATTGGCCTTTAAATCTTCTTAAGGTGTTTCAAGTTCTAAAAGTAGAAATGATTAACATAGTCAAAACTGTTTATCTTATTTTATTTCTACCTGACCTCAAACGGAATCATTATCATTAGTAGCTATTTTGCTTGTAGCGTTTTTTATGGCAAGGAACTTTTATAAATAAAATGGTCGTTAGCAAGTACAAAATGAATCGGTAGCCTACAAAAAG